CTCACCACAAAGATGTAACTTCCCCACCATCAAGACAGTCAGGATTCAAATCCAGGACCCCTCATAGTAGGGGCTACTGTAAAGAGTAAGTACAACTGTAGCTGTGAAGGTGCATTGTAAAATGCAAGATTTGGGGGATAACTGGTACCAATCCTGGGTTGTACTTTTAAGTGTGAATTACATTTGAAGAAGATGGGACACTAGCTTATTGGGTGTTTCATGGAAGTCAGAGGTGCTCTGTCTACTCTGGAGTGGTGTTGTGGTTGTGTGGTTGTGGGTCTGAGGAAAGCAGGCCTAGGTTTGACGAAGGGTGATGTGGGGTTGACCTAGATGCTCGAAGGGAGCGCTTCCCACCTCTCATATTGCCTCTCTCTGCATCTGAGCTGGAAGAGAGGCCACTGCTTTATGCAGAGGTTTGCATAAAGACCCCTAGAGAGCTCTCTCTGATTTTATTATCCAGAGGAAATATGGGGAGCTGAATCAGAGGAGATGGCTGACAAGTGCATTACGGGACATTAAACAATAGCTGATCAACGTCAGACACAAATAAATCTAGTGTCAAGAACATGGATGGTTCCCAAAGTGGTGGACTGGCTGCCTTCCAGGCAGGGGCATGAGGGACTGACATGAGGCCATAAAACACCTGCCATGGTCACATCTGCATGGCACGGGAAAACATTCCAGGACCGGGATGGAAATTATGTCCTTCCCTGGTATCTTGCTCTAAGGGCTTCTCACAATCTAGCCTCTGAGACCTGAGCCCAAATATCACCCAGAGGCGTCCTGCCTGTCTGGGAACCTGCATTAGAAGAGGGAAGCATGTGGGTCTCTGAGCACAGGAAGCTTGGCTTATAATGCCTAAAGAGATGGTCTGTGAAGTGGGACTGCCCTGGTTATAGGGAGGTTCCCATCCCCCACCAAAAAAACAAACCAAAACACTCTGGCTTAAACTTATCTCACTAGAGCATCCTTTTGTAGCAGGAACTACAAAAGGGGTGTGTGAGAATTACATACATGGAGCTGTATGTAATTCTTATCTTCACTTCTATAAGTAATATAACCCTTGGGTAATACCCTGCAGGTCACAACTACTGAGCTACATCTGTGAATGCATATTGGAGTCAACTCAATCCACAGACCCATAAATGAGCCCGGCAAGAACCAGTCAAACGTAGGCTAGATCAGCTAGTGAACCCATAAACACATGAACTTCAACAATAATGATTATTTTAAGCATTAGAGCATTAGAATGGTTTATTACTCAATAAATGGTTAAGAAAATATACCAAACTTAGGGCTCCTGACATTTTTAATAGTTGCCATGTTCACTGCAAAGCATCCCAAGACATATCTGACACTCATCTGCCTTCTTAAGCAACATAAAGTGAACAAAATTAGGTATTCCCTGGACCATTCACAATCATCATAATGAAAGCCCATTAATGTGTGCAAATCAAGGATGCCCTCAGGGGCTACACTAGAAAATCTGATCTATAGTTCTTTTTGAAATCTCGAAACTATTCCCTACTTCCTTATTATTTTTCGTTATTTTCATAATCTCTGGGGGGGTGGGGTTGAGACTGGCTATCACTGACTGATCTCAGGCTGGCCTTGAACTCTTGATCCTAAGTCACCTGATTGCTAGGATTACAGGCATATCCACCACACCTGGCTTCTTGTAATCAATTTTATTAGTTGCATTTTGTTGTTGTCACTGTGTCCATCTTAAGCAACAACTCCTCCCTCCTCCCCAATCTACTGTGCTACACCCAAATCACCTCACTTCAAGAAGCCTGTATCTAAGCTCATTAGAATAGTGTCCAAAGTAAGAGTTAATAGGCTTAGAGTCAGGGCCCAAGATGGCTTTCTGCATATCAAAAGCATTGATTTAATGCTGGAATTTCTGTCATCAACTCTGACCTCTCCCCTCCTGGCTCTCCTCTGGAACCCAGCAGTGGGGGTTACCACGTAACCAACACCTGGTTGTGTCTGGCCTTGCTAAAGTGAAGGAAGGGTGGCTCTGTGCGAGGACTCGCACCACCTATAGACCTGTGAGAGCCCCTCCTCTGCTGCTCAGCACCCACATGTTAACAGTGCTTCTCCCAGAATACCCACATCCCTACTTATCTCCATGTCCTCTGAAGCACTTTATACAATGCCAGCCACACAGCAGGCTCTCACTAAGATGTAATGCATAGAATGAAAGGATTTTCCTGGTGGCCCTTGTTTCTGTGTATATACAACCTACCTTCTTCAGAAGAATAAGAAGCCACATGTTTCTGGATATACAATGTTTCAGATCAAATTATTGGGAAATATTTTCAGAAGATTAATGTCATCCTGTGTCAGGCAACGGTTCCATTTCAAGGCCTGAGTTAATTTCGGAACTGTGCTCCATGGCAGGTAAACAAGGGGGATAAAGCCAAGTGACTACAGGAGAAAGTGGGTATTTTTATAAGATGGAGTGTGAACTTGGTGATTCCCCCAGGTCTATACCATTGTTTGACCATATGTCTAAAGACCACATTCCCAACGAGAAGATCCACACTTAGCAATCATCAAGAGGTGCCTGAAGAGGCTGAGGGTATAGCTCAGAGGTAGAGTGTTTGCCCAGCATGTTGGAGGCCCTAGGTTCAATCCCCAGCACTGCAAAAACAAAAATAAAATGGTCTGTGAATGTGTGGGCTGGTTAGTCTACGTCCCCATCCTCCCCCTGCACCTCTGCCCTGTACCCAACAGGCCAACCCTATGGTCTGCATCTAGCATTTCCCCTGCCTTCGGGCTTTTGGTTGGGTTGGGTTGGGTTTGGCTAATGGGAGGCACTGCCAGTGGTAATTGGAATGGGACGAGAGAGAGGCAGGGAATTTCGTCTCTAGTTTTCTCCCTGCCTTGAGTCCCTCTATAACTAATAATTCTGCTTGGTGGCCCCTCCTGAAAGGTTCCAAATCTCTCTGGGATCCATTTCCCTATCTCCTCCTCCTGCCTTTTCAATGGTAAAGGCTTCCCATGGCTGCTAATCTCTAGGCTCGCTGGTTCCCTTAGCCCCCCCATACACTCCTGAAAGTGACCACTCCATTCATGTCTTCATCTGAACCATCTGACTTGCCTCTTGTCACTGCTGTGTCCTTACTGGCACGATCTGCAAAAGCCCTTCCCTAAGAGACATCTCCACTGGGCAGGGGTCTCTCCCCAGCAAGTTCAAAGAAAATCAGAGGGTCTTTTCTCTCCAGTTTTCAGAACACCTTACGTACTTTGGTTATATGTAAGTTAAATAGTACAAAATGATAGTCAACCCCAACCTATAGATGAGAAGAGTTCTTAGTTTTCATTTGCCAGATATTTATAGAGCACCTCCTACCTGCTAGGCTCTGCTCTGACCACAGCAAAGAGCAATGATGCACAAGACAGTCACAATCCCTGCCCACATGGTGCTTCTAGTCTATAGCCAACTATGTCCCAGAAGCCAGAGAGCCCACCAGAGGCAGGAACCAGAAAACTGACTTTCCTTAATTCCCAAGTCTTAAATACTCAGGGGATTCTCAAAGAAATCTGTGACCGCAAGAACTACTGAAATAGACCAAATTAACTATCGAGCTTCTCTAGCCCTCAACTTTTTATTAATTTATTTTTAAATTTTTTGAGTCAGGATCTTACTATGTAGCCCATCCTGGACTCAAACGCACCCTCTTCCTGCCCCTGCCTCCTGAGTGCTGGCAGTATAGTTATGAGCACCCACACCTGGCTGTCAAGCTCTCCTTTGAATAAGATTAATAATGACCCACTCAGGCCCAGAAGATGCTTGGTGCTTAGAATCTGTGAGAGGCATTATGACACTCATAGTAACACGACCACCCACCTTTCCTGTCTACTCCCCTCCCAATATTTCCTACACTCTCCCTTCCCTGCTCTGTTCACACTTTTATAATTAGCCTCTCACGGGTCACCAAGTCACTCTCTCAGCCCACAGACATTGGCAGCACAACTTGCCCATGAAATGATTTTATGAATGGGCAGCAGCTGGGGATGGGTGCAGAGAAATGCCCTCCCCAAGCGCCTGCCGTTTCTGGTCCTCCCTGTGTGTCAGTGAAGGACTTAGGACTAAAGCTGCCTTGCATGGGGAGAGCCAGACGTGGTTGAGATGAACACAGGGGGTTGTGAGGGGACAGGCAGCATAGTCTGAGGTTTGCAAGCCTCTCACACGACCTCCAGAGACATTTGAGTTTCCTCAGAAAGGTCTGAAGAGGTCATACCAGTAACCCAATACTTCCCCAGGCCAAGCAGCACAAGGCTGTGCCCTAGGAAAGATTTCCAGGCTGACAGTCCAAGCCCCCTCCAGGCCCACTGTCCCTTTGGAGCCCCTCTGCTTCTCGCTGGAATGGCCCTTCTCCCAGGACCTCCAGATGGCTTGTCAAGCTGCAGGAACTCTCACTGAGGAAGAAGCATAACAAGAAGGCAGGCAGAGCTGGAGAAACAGAAAACCTAGTCCTGAGGCTGCCGGGGATGGGGGTTGGGAGGGTGAGGAGGTGGTTGGCTGGACCCCCTTTCCTTCCAGTGCAATTGTCTTGGAAGTGGATAGAGTTTTGTTTACTCCCTGACATCCCGAGTCAAGTCCCCTTTGAAGGAGGTCAGAAATGTGTTTATAGAAATATATGGGGCTCACTTCTCTCTCACGTGCTCTTCACTGACTCTTTTGAGCTCCCTCAAATTCCTGACCAAAACAAAATCACACAGCAAATGGAGAGAAGAGATGGGAGAGACAGAAACAATGTTTTAATCTCTTGCTTTGAACAGCCAGGTAGGGGCTGTTGGAACAAGGACAGAAGGGCCTTCTGAGACAAGCTCGGGTGATAGGAAATAGCCGGGGTGACGGTCCCCACCCCCCAGCTTCCCTCCATCAAGAGCAGAATGGCAAAAATATTAGGACACATTGCAAAACAATCTGATTTTCTCCCTCTGCCCCCTGCCAGATGGAAGAGAGGAAAGTTGTGGTCATCATTTACCTGCTGAGATTGGGAGGACGCTGTTGATGAAAGTCGGCTGAGACACGATGGAGCGGAAGAAAAGCTGAAGATAAATCCCCAAAGTCATTGGATTCAGGACAACCATGCTGGCCAGGTCTGGCAAGTGTCAAGTTAGCAAGGAAGGCTGCTATGGGCCTTGCGTGTCTCTGCTTTGTTTTCGCTGCTGTTTGCCTCTCTCTCAATCTCTCTCTCTCTCTCTCAATCTCTCTCTCTCCCCCTCCCTCCCCTTTTCCCTCCCTCTCTTTCTCCCTCCCCTTTCCCCATGCCTTTACCAAGAAAGAATGCCAACCATTTCCCATTAAACCTTCTCCTTACTACACAGGGTTATATTTATCTCAAGCACTGGCTCAAATGCCCACATTAAAATTAAGATGTCAGAATTTTCTTTTTCAGAGACTGAGGTAAGTAGCTATTGAAGAGGTGATGAAAAGGCAGCCAAGTCTCAAATGTTCACCAGAAGACATCCTCAACAGCAGATGGATTTCCTAATTGATTATCGCCCATTGTCTACCTGCCTGCAACAGAAGCATTCTGCAGTAGCACAAAATCAACTCTCCTGACTCAAACTGAGTTCCATGGGGACAAATTGCACTGCCATCAGCCTTGGCCAGTCCTACCCACTGTGTAACAACTGGGAAGTTGACTTTGCACTTCTTTCTTTCATCATCCAACAAGAGGTAGGGAGTTAATATTTTCAAACAGCTTTCCCTGTGGAAAAAGTCTTCTCTCCCCAGAAGCTGAAAAGTTTTATTTCCAAGTACAACGAATGAAAACAGGAAATGCACTGGCATGTGAATGATTATCAAATTATATTTGGAAAAACAGATCATTAACTTGATCTTTGGCTAGACAAAATTGTTCAAATAAAAATTATTGCAATCTTAGATGAATACTTTTTATGAATTTATAAATCCTGTTATAGAGATCTTTAGATTACTAAAATAATTAAAATAATAATCCACAGAGAATTCATTTGTTTTAATCTACATAACATATTCCCAGAGCCTCATGAGACATAATTCAGAAGAGTGTGGTAGTTGGGGACCCTGGGCTGAGTGTCCTTGAGAAAGAATACTGATCTTCATTCTGGAGAAGATGGAGCCCATTTAGGGCAGAGTATAAGGCCAAACCACACTTGGGTTTGACTCAGATCTGAGTGGCAGTAAACAAATTTTTTTACCCTACTTGGCCTTGGTTTTCTCATCCAAAAAATGGAGACACTGTTCTCTTTATAGGTTTGTTGGAAAGGTAAAAAGAGATGACATGGGATGAATCTTTTGTGAGTTCAAATTTGTGTCTAGAGACAGCACAAATGAAATCCAAGGAGCTATGGTAGATGGAGTACAAAGATGGCTGCCAAAACCCCTTGTATCCCTATATGTGCATGTCACTCTTCCCTTCAAAAAGTGGAGTCTATTTCCTCTTTCTTGAATTTGGGATCGCCTCGTGACTTTGACCAATATTACATAGCTAAAGGAATGGGTGTCATTTCCAGGTCTGGGTCTTAAATGCCTGGAAACTTCCGCTTTTGCCTTCTCTTAGAAGCCAGCTGCCATGTAAAAAAAAGTCTATAGACTATTGGAAAGGCCACATTGAGGGGACACAGCCAGCCACTGTCTGTTCTGTCATCCCAGATGAGGCATTTGAGTGAGCCCATTTGGGATCATCTAGCCCTATTCAGGTCTCCAGATGGTGGCAGCCACAGGAGTGACCCTGAAAAAAACTAGCTGAAGAACTGCTTGGGTAACAGCCTAGATTACAGAATCTTGAGCAAATAAAATGTCTCATATTTGAAACCAGTAAGTTTTAAGATGATTTGTTCTGCAGCAATAGCAAATTGATAGAGTTGATGAAAAAGCATGAATCAGTTACATTCAAAATGTACAGGACAGTTGAAAGATGCAGTACCCTATTTAGCTGCCCCAAAATGTTACACAAAGGAGTTGTGATTGCTGGCTACAACCAATCAGGACATTCTCAGGCTTGTTCTTGTTAATTCTTAGAGCCACTCTAGAAGTGGGTTTTTGGTGTCTTGGAGAAGGTACAGTCTATGTGGGATGAAGGTCACTTTTCTTTTTGAAATGTGGTCTTGCTATGTAGCCCAGGTTCACCTTGAACTCTCAGTCCTCCTGCCTCAGCCTCTCAAGAGCTGTGATTATAGGCATGTACCTGAACACACCTGGCTGGAGAAAATAACTTTTGAGTAACTTGCTGTCCAAACTCAGGCTTTCACAATCCAGCTCAGCACCCCCTTCTGAAGCAAGCATAATTTCTTCTTTCTCCAGCACAGAGGTCATCACTGACACGCACTTGGGACATAGAATGCCCAAATGCTATTGTTTTTGAACTGCTTCTATACCACCTTATGTTGCTACTTAGCCTGTGTTATTCCTGAAAATAAAGAACTGTCCTGCAGTGCTGTGTACCCTCTCAGCCCCCAGGACAGTCCTTTTCACTTAACATCTCCAGGAATGTCAGTTAATTTGGTCAGATCACACCACTGAATAGGAAGAAAAAAGTATAACTTTATGTTCCAGCCACATTGTACAACTTGCATTTTCCCTGCTGGCCCAAGTCTAAGTCTTGTATGAAGAAAGGCTTTGGTGAATATGGTGAGGGTGGAAGGAATATGAACAGCCATCCTGAATTAGCACCTGCACACAGGGAAGCTAAATATATACATCCAGACCACTGGGGAGCAGTTCACTGCTGATGCAAAGTTACTACAGGAATCTCTACCCTTTGGGGAGGTCCCAGCACAGAGGTGTCTGTAGGCCTCCAATACCTAAGCAATTCTTAGTAAATTTCCATTTCCCCATGTATTTTATGAGCCTATTTCTTATGAGGTTATCCTATCTGACCAAGGCAGAAATAACCATCTTTCTTCCAACCCTCCTGGAAGGACTCTGACTTCTTCAGAATCTAATAACATAGGTTATTAGATTTGACCAGAAGGAAATTATCTGATATTTGAGAAAGACTCACACCAATAAACCCAATAAAAGTCAGAGCCTTCTCTCCCAGACCTTTCAGGTGGGAATGTATACTGGAGAACAGTTTCTTCATCCCATTAAACTTAAAATGCACATCCTATTTGACCCAGAACTTCCACAGAAACACTCAACAGTACAGTGACTTAGGCACATGGACATGCATGACTCCTCAGATTCAAACAGCACATCCATCAGTGTTATGATGGGTTGGTGGAGTAAACCATGGGGCATTTATTCAATGAAATATTATGCAATAATTTTTAAAAAAGAATAAAATGGGCTGGAGGATATAGCTCCATGGCAGAATGCTTGCTTAGTATATACAAGGCCATGGGTTCAATCCCCAGGACATACAAACGAAGAGAATGATAGTCTTTGTATCAAACAGTACTGGACAGGTTGGACTTACACACACACAAAACAAACAGAAGTAAAACTTTACCCTTACAGTGTCACACATATAAAAATCAGTTCAAAGCAAATAATAGGCCTAAATGTAATAGCTAAATCTATCAAGTTTTAAGAAGAAAACAAGACAAAATCTTAGTAACCCTGGATTAGGCAAAGATTTCTTAAATAGGATACAAGAAGCACAAATCTTAAATGAAAAATGTTAAATGAGCCCTCATAAAAATTTTAAAACCATTTTTTCAAAAACCAATTCTAAATTGGAAATCTAAGCCAAAAACAAGGAGAAAATATTTTCAAAGTGCACATACACATGATTAAGGACATATATCCAGAATATATAAAAAACCTTTACAATTAAATAATTATAACAATTCAATTTGAAAAATGGGCAAAAGATATGAATAGATCACCAAAGGCACTGCATGAATGGTAAATAAGGACTTGAAAACGTACATTATTAGTCATTAGGTAAATGCAGATTAAAACCACAATGAATACCACTATATATGTACAAGAGTGGATAAATTAAGAAAACTTGCTGGGAATGGTGGCACATGCATATAGTCCCAGGTACCCAGGAGATATAGGTAGAAAGGTCTTGGTGTGAGGTCAACCTGGACAAAAGTACAAGACCCTATCTGAGAAATAAAACTAAAAAAGCAAAAAAACTGAGATGTGGTTCAAGTGGTAGAGCACTTGCCTAGCAAGTACAAGGTCCTGTGTTCAATCCCAGTGCTGCTAAAAAGAAAACTGATAATACCAGCATGGTGAGGATGTGGAGTAATTCAAATTCTCACAAATTGCTACTGAGAATGAAGATTGGACTTGAACTTTTGATCCTCCTGCCTCAGTTTCCCAAGTGCTAGGATTGCAGGCACCACCATACTTGGCTCAGGTACTTTCTTATAAAGTTAAATCTACACTTATTGTACACATTCTACTGTCTGATATTTATCCTAGAGAGATGAAACCAGTCAAAGACTTGACCATGACCATAATCACTTTATTTGTAATAGCTAAAACTAGAAACAACCCAAATGGCCATCGACTGGTGAATGAATAACCAAGATATATATGTGTGTGTGTGTGTGTATACACACACACACACATACACACACATGCACATTTAAAACAACTCAATAATAAAATGAAGTGAACTAATGAAAGAAGTAGTATGAAACTTTGACCATATCACCCTGAATGCACCTGATCGCGCCTGAAAGAAGTAACATGGAAGAATCTCAAGTGCATTATGATGAGTGAAAGATGCCAGACATAAACGGCTACATGCCATGTAATTCCATTTATATGGCTTTCTAGAAAAGGCAAAGGTAGGGACGGAGGCCAGACCAGAGTTGCCAGGGGTTGTGAGAAGAGAGTTGCCTACAGTCCCTTCCCACTCCCTTTCATTACCATTCTGGTAATGGAAGTGTACCTTATCTTGGTTGGACTGACTATATACTTCATCAAAATTCATCAAGTTGTACTCTTAAAAAGGGTGAATTATATTGTATAAAAATTTCCCTGAACAAACTTGACTTTAAAGAATAAGAAAAAGAAAAGCCAGGCTTTGTGGGATATACCTGTAATCCCAGCACTTGAGAGGCTGAGGGAGGAGGATCAAAAGTTCAAGGCCAGACTAGACTACATAGTGAGTGCCAGGTCAATTTGGGTTACAACAGAGAGACCCTGTCTCAAAATACAAAAACC